CCTTGCCTACAGTAAATCATAGAGGCATTACTCCCTGTGTTATCAAAATAAACATGCTAAGATGAACAGTCTGATAGGGAATCTATGAATTAATATAATGACAAGTAGACTTTATGTGACAATTTCAAGGGCAGCTGCTATCACGTTTATATATCACTATCAAAAAGTTCCCATGCTTTTCTATGGAAAATTTATCTACCTCCTCTTTTAATAGGGTTGGAGGGAGATAATGAGAAATTAAGAAGGAGAGGGACAGATGTCCAAAGAGTTGAAGATGAGGATACTGTCAATGTTGAAATAATACATCATAACATGTCTATATATTTAAGCTGGGAGGAAATGAGGAATAGAGAGGGATTAAATCAATAGCTCACAGGGGATATTATAATCTACTTAGTTTAATTAACTTCAACTTTAATGACTTTTTTTTTCAAAAATAATATGAACAGTGCACCAAGCTTGGACTATTGCCAAACACAATCTCTCTCTCCTTCTTTGAACTAATCAAATTAGAAAGGATATAGAACAGTCACAGAAACAAAAGTATATAATTGCCAATTTGTGATAGCATTATAAAGTACAGGGCCTGCATTCTCAAGTTTTATAGATTTACAGGTTATGGCAACATTTGCCTTCTCCTTACAGCATCCTTTAGTCCTCTCCTCTGAAAGTCCAGCTCTAGGCCTCGGCTCGATTTTAGGTACCTGATTTTTAGGTTCTGTTTCAAAAGTAGTTGATTAATTTTAAAGCAACAGATTATTTTTCTAGTAATTATTTTTAGCTCCCTAATTATTTTAAAGTTAGAAATGTGTAAGAACTCAAAAGAGCTTTAAAAACCACCCAAAATTACCTGGTTGAAAAGACTGCTCAAAAAATAAGCTATCACTTAATGGTTCCTTTATTCTTTTTTCCTCTTCTTCCTTTTGCTGCTCTTTTGCAGAAGGGAGAAGAGTGGCCACAACCTCTTTTCTTCCTAAAGCCTTCCTCTGGCTTTGTTCGGAAACTTGGAGACGGAATTTGTCCATTACTCCATAGTGACAGGATCGAACATCTTTATGACGAATCACACTGAAAACATTTAAAAATAACAAATGCTGTTTAGGTTTTGAGGGGGGGTGGCTGTCAAATAGAATTCAGCAAGAGATTTCATACATTAAAATAATATTAACTGATTATAACCAAATATTCAAATACAGAGATTTGCTAATGATGCTTTAAAAAAAATCACAGTATAACCCAAAAGGAAATGGGTGCTGCTGAAATATTTGATGAAAGCACATACTCTAAAACAGAGAATAAAAGTAAAATATGATGGGTAGCTCTAGCCAGTTTGGCTCAGTGGATAGAACATTGGCCTGCAAACTGAAAGGTATCGGGTTCAATTCAGGTCGAGGGCACATGCCCGGGTTGTGGGCTTTAAAAAAAAATGATGGGCAAAGAAAACTCCTTTTGGCAATGACTTTTTTCTGGATATCTGTATATATTAATATTTACTAAATAAGATATATGAAATTGTTTCTTCCTCCACAAAAGTGTCATAAATTTTCTATTGCCACTTATTTTTCAAAAATATTAACACGTTTTACAAACCTCACCCTAGACTTAAAATCTGAAATCCATGAATGCAGATAAAAATAAGCATTTGCATGAGTAATTCAGTCTGACCAATCCAACAGAAGGCTAACAATACACTTCTGTATCTCTCTGAAAAGAATATAAAGCACTTCAATTTTTATGAGTTATCTGAAGTTCCATATATTTTGCTTTGTTTTTTTTTTTACTTTGTCCTTAATAGAGAACACAGAACAGTTAGGTAAAGATAGCACATTTATTTGGCTAGAAACTACATTTCTTTGGAATAGTCCTTGCTTATTTCGTACTGAATGGAAATCAAAAGAAGTGTGCAAAAACACATTCTTAAAGATACATAATTTTAATGCTGTAAGTCTATTAAAAAGAAAAAACTTATGCTTCTCATTCTCCCAGAAAATTTAAACAAATAGAGCTTACTGGGTGGCTTAAATTACGGCTGGTCAATGGCTCCATCTGGTCATCACCAGTTCTAAAGTGAAAATTAAGTATGAACAGCCTGAACAACCAGTCACTTATCTGGCACTCTAAGAAGAAATTATCTAGAAGAGCTCAGATAACCTTTTATAGATGAGTAGTTATGCACTTGCTTCCTGTTTGTATAGATTAACTTTAAAGCTTATTAGCTGAATCATTTTGGATGAATTTGTATTACCATTGTTCTGAGAGTGTAGTATTATTAGTTTCCCAAATTTCACTATAATAGCAAGATGTTCCAAAGAAAGTTAAATTTCTTATTATAGCTAGAGAAATTTAAAGGAATAAGTTAGAACTTTACCTTCATAAATGTCCATTATAACTAAAATCACAACAATGAGGAAATATTAACACACATCAGTTATAACATAATTAAATATTATTAAGTATTTGTTTGACCTATTTAGAATCTATTAGCAACTTAACAAGAATTTTTTCTTTCTAATTCAACTTATTGGTGTGACATTGGTTAATAAAATTATATAGGTTTCAAGTATATAATTCTATAATACTTCAACTGTATATTGCATTGTGTGAGCATCACCCAAAGTCAAATTTTCTTCCATTACCATATATTTGACTCCCTTTACCCTTTACTACCTCTCCAAGAATTTTGATAGACTAAAACTTTCAGCAAAAATTCAAAGTATAATAAATGCCTATGTGGGAATAGCTTCAAGAAAAAAACCTTTTCAAGTTAAACATATAAATATTAACACATTTAAAACATGTTACCAGGAAGTGATTGGGACTTACATATCCACACAACACTGAGGCTTTACTGCACCTGCAGCATCAACGACAACATACTTATTTGGAGTAGTACACAAAACTGAAAGAAAAAGTCACAATGACCATTAGTGTTTTTAAAAAAATTAGTTTCTACAAGTAAAAAATTAGTAGGGACTAGTTTAATCCATCAAATAGACCTAGGAGACTCACCTTTGAACTTTAAGGCAAACTCATAGGGGTTATATAAAGTCAACACTTGCTTATGTGTTGACTGGTCATCTGCATAAAATATTAGCTCCGTGGGAAACACAAAAACAGGAAGATTTCCTTCCACTAAATCTTGCTGTTTTTTTTGTTGATGCATTGGCACTGAATCCCCCTTGCTGCAGCTTCTTTTTTCACAGTCTCAAATCTATTTTGGACTTTCCTTAAAGTAGTTAAAAATTCCAAAGCATTTTGGCAATCTAGAAAGAGAAGAGAGAAAGAAAACTGAATGATACCTGTTTTCATTTGTTATCCCACCATGAAAAAGCATGTTTAGCATGCATTAAAATAGACCCCCAAATCATTTAAATAAGCCTTTTGACTTTTCCTCTAGGCTTATTTATACAGCTTTTAGCTAACTAAGCAAAGAAATTTATACATATTCCTTTCACATTCAAGGTTTCAACCTACAATAAATAACATTAATACCTGAATGAGGGAATAAAGGTTTTGTACCTGAATTTAATCACCCCCTTTCAAAGAGATGAGATCAAAAAGACATCACTCTTTTAAACTTCAGATTTTTAAATAAAGTAGAATAAAGTAAGTATTCCCTCCACCAATTTTATGTGAGCCAATCAAAATTCTTAAAGACTAAAAAAAAATGTAGAACAAAAAAAATATAGGACAAAGTAAGTTTCCATGGTTTATGGAAGAAAAACATGAGAATCACTTTCACACTCATCTCAACAATACTATAGTGCCTTCAGGAAGCATGGATGGCAGAGTTATTTTAATCTTTTTTTCTACCGAAACCCAAGATAAGCAAAAATGTCTGGAAGGGAAGTCGAATATCCAAACTGTCCATGGAGTTTTCTATGAAATTTCAGTCAGTAAGTAGGTCTTGGTATGTGAGTGGCACTATGCCTCCCCCGCCCCTCCACATCAAGTGCACAGACTTCGTAAGAGCTATTTTCTTCTTCCAACTTTAAAGACCTTTCTGGATTCCTTTGGGGGTTGTTGAATATGTTCCAGACAGTTGTAACTGGCAGAAGTCTGACTGATAAGTGCAATGTTTATGATTTGTTACCTAATCTAATTTTAAACAACATTACTTAGCTAGTACTCTGTGTGACTTTTTCAAATAAAATGCAAAAGCTAAAACATACAATCACAGAAAATACCTGGTTTTCACCCTGTAGATGACTCATTTAAAATAAGTCATAAGCATTTAATAGTTTGCTTTCAAGTTCTCATATATTCAAAATAAATATAACAAATGATTAATTTTTTGTTGTTTTACCGGCTATTAGAGTACACGTGCTATGATTCTGATTTAAGCCTTTCCCACTTTTATCAAATAGGATACTGTATAGTCATGCATGCAAATTTTTATCCTTTTCTTTCAGCTAAATGTCTATTATATATAGGCCTGGCACTATGTCAGGAGCTGCACAAAGATACAAAGATAAATAATGCACAGGCCTTGTCCTCAAGAAACTCAAGTCTCACTGGTAAAACAAAATAAATATTAAAGCCGCCTCTATTATAATGCATAGTATTGTATATGAAGTACTAGAGGATTAGAAGACTACATGAATAATTCTACCTGGAAGAGAGGCCAAGAGATAGCACTTGAGGTAGTCCTTAAAGAAAAGGATACGCACTTCTATGCCAGGGGTAGGGGGTGGGGATAGGTACGGGGGGTATTCTGACCGAGGGAACAGCATAAGCAAAGACACAGAAACATGAAGAAAGAATGTTTAAAAGGTCCTAATCAAGGCCCTGGCCGGGTAGCTCAGTCCCCATACACCAAGGTTGCGGTTCCATCCTTGGTCAGGCTACATACAAGAGTCAACCATAAAATGCATAAATAAGTGGAACAACAAATTGATGTTTCTCTCTCCCTCTTTCTCTCTCCTTACCTAAAAAAAAATCAATAAATAAATTTAAAAAATACTGTCACGAGAACCAAGATGCAGAGTAGGTAAACGCCTGTACTCACTTCCTCCCACAGCCACATCAAAATTACAACTAAAATACAGAACAACCATCATTCAGAACCGCCTGAATAAAAAAGATTAAAAAACAAAAAAAGAACTGCCTGGAAACTAACTGAATGGAAGTCACACAACTAGAAAGGTAAAGAAAGCACACTGAGATTAGTAGGAGGGTAGGAGGGGTGGAGGCGTGGAACAGGCTGGTCCAACACCCAAGTGTGTTGTTTTTATAATTGGAAGGGAGATTGTTTGTGTGGAGGCTGCCCTTGAGGATAAGGGGTCCCAGCCCACCCCAGACCCCCAGCTCAGGGTTCCAGACCTAGGAAGAGAAGTCCCCGTAACTTTGGGCAGTAAAAACCAGCAGAGATTGTGGTTGAGTGACAAGGAGGCTGCTGAAGTCCCAGGTGCTCCTCTTAAAGGGCCATCACACAAACTTACATGGTCCATTGTTTGGCATCAGGACAGAAACTCAGAGGTGGCTTTCTCCCAGACAGGGGTGCTAGCAAGGGTCATTGTTCCTGGTATGGAACGTCCTCTGTCACAGGGATGACTGGAATCCATAGCTGAGTCTCAATCAGCCTGAAGCACACAGTTTGCTCCACCCTGGGGATTCCCTGAGATCCCACCCAACCAAATTTACAGCCCCACCCAAGCTATTCACAACAGCTTTTCCATATGAATGGTCTGTCCTGGCTCAGGCTTCAGATATTGCTAAAATCTGTCAAACAAGCTGCAGCTGGTGACAGCATACCCCAAACCTATCAATAAAAGGCCCAAGACACAGAGGGAGAAAATGGCGACGGTATAGATGGACGTGTCCCGTGCTTTGTCCCGGAGCAGAGAGGGTGAGCAGCTGAACCGAGTAACATCTAGTCCGAATAGGCAGAGGAAATTCAGCTGGGAGACAGTTTGCAGCTGGAAAAGGCAGAGGACTCCGGGAGAAAGGGGACTGTTGGAGACTGTGGCTGAAAACTCTCCCAGAACGGCTGGCTCAGCCGCGGAGTCCGCGCCATCTTGAGTGGCTGTTTTCGGAAACGTATACATCCAAAGACCCTGCAACCACGGCATCCAGGAATCGGCTACTGACCCAGAAACACTGGATCTAAAGCAGCGCGAATACGTGGACTCAGAGGAGCCCTGCTCCTCCTGACAGAAGGTCAGATTTCACCTTGATAAGGGTGCGGTTTGCAATTCAGGTTGGAGAGAGGAACGTGTGGGGGGATAGTCTGCGCCCCACGAGGTCCGCGGCCTTGGGGCCAGCATGATCCGCGAGTGCAGAAGGGGTCTCACAGGGCTGTCACCAGAAGGGAACACTAAAAATAAGCCCATAGCTGGACTGGGTGCAAAAAGGCAGCCTCGGATTTTGCCAGTGTACCAGCTGCTTAGTGCCAGGGGAGAGAGGACGTGCAGAAGAGACTGCGCACAGAGCTGGACGGTGGAGGGTTGCGAGAGCTCACGCACCTCCTTAGGCCCCTTTTTTTCTCTCTCTCCCCCTTAAATCTTTGCCTGTTAGCCTGGGAGGTCAATCCAGACACACTGCCACCAAGAGGCAGAGCCACAAACTGACCCTTCTGTAAATACAAATAAAGGCAGTCTGGGAAACAAATACAGCCTGCTTTAAAATCAGGACTGTGGTTTACAACACAGAGGAACAGTGTATCACAGGGAACTTCAAAACTCTCCTGAATACCTGACAGAACTAAGGCGTGTCAAACAGAAGAGTAGAGGAACTGAAGGACCTTCACTACTGCACATTTTATTTATTTGTTTTTCACCTTTTACTTAAGAAACTATTTTTTTTCTTTTTTTATCACCTGATTTTACCTTTTTAATTACTACTTTTCTATTTTTAACCAGTATTATTAATACTACCATTTTACCTTTTTTTAAAGTGTCATTATATTTTCTCTTTATCTTATTTTGGGATTAGTGTTCTAAATTCTATGTTCATCTTTCCTTTAGCATCATTTTACTCTACCTCAACTTTATCTTTACACCAAAACTCTCCTCCTCACTTTTCCCCTTTTGTTGTCCTGTTTCTCTTACCCTATTCCTGCTTTAGATTTTCCCTATTCCTTCTTTTTAGCCCATTAAAATTTCATCCTACTCATATATCTAGTTTCCAATCCCCTGCTCTAAATCCATATACACCTCTCTCTTCTCTTTCTTCACTATCCAAATTTCTTTTTCTCTCTGTCATTTGGTTGTTGTTTACTTGATTGTTCAGTATATTGTGGAGGTTTTTTATGCTTTTTTTGTGAAATTGTTTTGCTTTTTCTATTTTTCTGTTTGTTTGTTTTTCTTTTTCTTTTCCGGGTATTTTTTTTTCTCCTGTTTTCCCTCGCATCTCTTGATATCAATTGTTGTTTGTAGTTTGCATTCTGTTGCTGGAATTTGTTGGGATTAGTGGCTGTTCTATTGGAGTTTTCTCCACATATAAACTTCTTCCCCTCTTCTATTTCATTCTCTTTCTTTTCTCTTACTTTTTTTCCTTTTCCCAATTTCATTTTTGCACTCCTTTTTTTCTCTTTTTTCTTTTCCTCTTCTTTCTTCCTTATCCCCTAATTCTCTTTGATCTGATGGTCACCTTTATTTGGGGTTATCAGTATCATGAATACATTTGTGTTCAGTGCCTTG